GAACCACTGCACTCCAGCCTGGGCGACAGAGACGGACATTGTCTAAAAGAAAAAAAAAAAAAAAAGATGATCTGCATTGAACTACGAGACTCTTGGATTTTCGCTACGGCCTTCCCCCACTGCGTTTCAACCACCCGAGAAGATCCTCTGGGACTCCGTTCTCAGCCGGGCTTGACCTTGGACATTTCAATTCCAGTGGGTTCCTCCCAGTGGGAACTGGGAGCGCGACTTCGTGTGCCCTGGACGGACTCCCGGCCTCGCTCCCTGCCAGGAAGGAGCCTTCTCTACAAACGCGACCTTCTCCCAGGACTCAGGGAGCGTTCAGCTCGGTTTGAAGTGAGTTCCCAGCAGGAGGAAACCATTCTGAGTGAAGGGAGGGAACCGGACCATTTGGCAAAAAATCACCAACTTCAGTACAGTTTTTCTTCTGGGATAGACATACGCTAGGAGGGCATTTCCATTTTCCTAACCTACATTCAGAGAGATTATTTTCTCATTTTGCCTCCTAGTGTAAAACTCAGTTAACACCCTTGCCTGTAATAAGTGACTACCCGCGAGTGCATCGCCAACCCCTATGCCCGGTGCACTAACAGAACTCTCATGATCCTTCTGATACATGGATTCTTTCAAACTTACTGAAGGAAATTTAACTGACTTTCTTAGAAGTTAATTCATACCAGATCTGATTCCGGTTATTTTTTGAAACGAAGTTTCACTCTTGTTGCCCATGCTGGGGTGCAATGGCACGTTCTTGGCTCATTGCATCCTCTGTCTCTCGGGTTGAAGCGATTCTCCTGCCTCAGTCTCCCAAGTAGCTGGGGTTACACGCATGTGCCACCACGCCCGACTAATTTTGTATATTTAGTAGAGACTGGGTTTCTCCATGTTAGTCAGGCTGGTCTCGAACTCTTGACCTCAGGTGATCCAAACGCCTCGGTCTCCCAAAGTACAGGGATTACAGGAGCTAGCCACCACGCCCAAGCCTCAGATCCTGGTTATTTTGACAAGATAAAGGAAAGAGGAGGCAGAAACTAACATTTTAAGAATCTGGACCAGATTTCAAGAATCTGGACCATCTAGACCATCCAAACCCGTCTCTATTAAAAATACAAGAAATCAGCGGGGCGTGGTGGCAAGTGCCTGTAGTCCCAGCTACTTGGGAGGCGGAGGCGGAAGAGTCGCTTGAACCCGAGAGTCGGAGGTTGCAGTGATGCAGTGAGCCGAGATAGCGCCATTGCACTTCAGCCTGGGCGAAAATAGCGAAACTCTGTCTCAACAACAAACAAAAACAAAAAACCAAAAAACATGCATTACACACGTTTTAGAGGTGTCATCTTGTATAACACTCGTTATATATAACTTCCTGAAATCCCTGCGTTTCTAACTCTTAAATGCCTCTTCATCTGCAGGTCGTGGTTTGCTGTCTCCTGAGTTCTATGCCGGATACTCGGTCAACTCCACGAATTCAGTCCCCCTCTCTCACCGGTGGACTTTGCACCGAAGGTTTCCTCTAGCTGAAAAGCTTTGTGCTTGGTTTTTGTCTAGTTATCTTTAGCTCCTGATTGGACTCAGGAAAACTATTTTTTCTTTTCTTTCTTTCTTCTTTTTTTTTTCAGACGGAGTCTTACTCTGTCCCACCTACTAGAACGGCCAAACTCCAGAACACTGACAACCGCAGTGCTGAGGATATGGAGCAACGGGAACTCTCATTCATTGGTGGTGGGAATGCAAAACAGTGCAGCTACTTTGGAAGACAGTTTGGGGGTTTCTGACAACACCAGACATATTTTTACCATACGACCCAGCAATCACACTCCTTGGCCTCTATCCAAAGGAGCCGAAAACAGGTCTACATGAATTTAAAGTGACATCTGTCAACTGATTGTATGTTTTTCTTTCGCCATGTTGAGCAGCCCCGGTTGTGGCTTTGCCAAAGGAGTAGAGAGTGGGAGAGGCAGGGAAATTGAGAGTGTATCAAGAGCCGACTACAGTATGTTCTGAATACGGAGAGAAGAAAAGACAGGAACCGGAGCGAGGAACAGGGAACAGACGCTTGAGTCTCTGGGGATTGGTTCCAGCAACAAGAGCGTCGACTAAGCACCAAACAAGTTTCTGATGTATCGAAAGTCAGAGAATAAGTAAAGCTTAAGACGCTGTCACGTCTCCCAGGAGCTCCTTGTTGAAAGGGACTGGTAGGTATATAAACAGTGGTAAACACAGACATGGTGGTATTAACCTGCCGTGGGAACCCGAGTGAGAGTCAAGGAGCCTAACACAACTTCGTATGAGTAAAAGCCCCATCCGAAGGCTTCGATGGCCGAGTGGTTAAGGCGTTGGGTCTATAAAATTGACAGTGTTCTTCTAGCGCAGGTTCGAGTCCCGCTTACGGTGTTACTGTTTTCTGGTTGGATTTCCAATTTGCTGCTTTCAGCATTCCCCCCAGAGGTTAGTTAGCTTTCATTAGGATGGAAAGTTGTGAGTTCTAACGTTGAGGCTTTTTACAGCGCACCTATGTATTTGAATGTATTTGAAAGCCAGGGGCGATGGTTCATGCCTATGATCCCAGCACTTGTGGGAGGCCGAAGCGGATCGTCTGAGGTCAGGAGTTGGAGATCAACACAGTGAAACCCCATTTCTACTAAAAATGCAAAAAAAAAAAAAAAAAAAAAAAAAAAAAAGCAGAGGGTAGTGGCACATGCCTGTAGTCCCAGCTAATCGGGAGCCCGAGGCAGGAAAACCACTGCAGTGATCGGAGATCGCGCCACTGCATTCCAGCCTGGGCAATAGAGTGAGACTCTGTCTCAAAGAAAAAGAAAATATTGGTTGTGTTACATCTAATCAAAATGGCAGACAAGACAGATGCAACAGGGAGAATAGGAGGAATCCAATTTCACTTTTAGATTAATGGTATGACAGCTTTCTTAAAGCATTCTCACCTGAGGTCGGAAGTTCAAGACCAGCCTGACCAACATGGTGAAACCCCGTGTTTATATATATATAAAACACACACACACACACACACAGCATTCTCAGGCGCCAAACTTAATTTAGTGTTTGTCCTGATCTCACAGCTGGAGGAAGCCAAAAAATTTAGGATGACCATATGCATCAGTTGCTCTTCAAAGCGTTTTGTATAAACGAGGAGATAGAGGCACAAAGAAGATACATTCTGGCTTCTGATCTCCTCTTTCTCCTCTTCGTTTTCCTCCTCTTCTTCTTTTGAGATGGAGTTTCACTCTTGTTGCCCAGGCTGGAGTGCAATGGGGAGATCTTGATTCACTGCAACCTCCGCCTCCTGGGTTCAGGCAATTCTTCTGCCTCAGCCTCCCGAGTAGCTGGAATTACAGGCATGTGCCACCACGCCCTGCTAATTTTTGTATTTTTAGTGGAGATGGGGTTTCACCATGTTGGCCAGGCTAGTCTTGAACTCTTGACCTTGTGATTCACCCGCCCCGGCCTCCCAAAGTGCTGGGATTACAGGCGTGAGCCACCGCACCTTGCATGACCTCCTTCTTAAACCCTTACGAAACTTCGTCTCCTTATAAGCAAGTCTTCATTTTCCACGCGTTTGCCTACTTTGAACAGCTTTGCAAGTAAAGTTCCTAGTTTATAAGTTTCTATGTCAAATGTGATTCTTAAAAACGTGTACTTTCCTGAATTCTTGACTCCTTGTTAAATTTGAGTGTCCTTGTCTGCTACTTTGGGTTATAATACCATTTTACAATAAATTTATCCAAAGTGAGTGGGTACTTGTTTTTACCTTTTGGAAAAGAAGAGGGGAAAACTATGACTAATGCTTCCAGAAATGTATGACAAAGCACTTTATTTTTTTGCAATATGGAAAGTTAAAATAATGCAGATTGCTCATTACTGATCCACATACAGCATTAGTGCTTAATGTAGGTATATAAAAAATGAAATTCAGGTAAGAGCAGCTGATTGGCCTGAAAAATAAGTAACAGAAAGCTCAAAAGTAGGCACACGCAGCAAAGAGAAGGTGGAAACAGCAACTGTGTTTGAAGGAAACACAGTGCTTTGAAGGAAAGACATTCATCTGAGCACATATATAATGTTTACAAGATGAAAATTGCTCGTTATTTTCAATAATGACACTTTATGTGAATGTCTGTTATGCAAACAAACCACAAAAGCAAACATGCATTCCTAGAATTCGTGTGGTTTGGGGTTTTAATTCCTACCTAAATAAGGAAGCAATGATCTTTTTCTGGGCCCAGTAATACAATACCGCATAGTTATGAAATCAGTAATATTGAGGGCACTTGCCCAAGCACGGGCCAGTGGCGCAATGGATAACGCGTCTGACTACGGATCAGAAGATTCTAGGTTCGACTCCTGGCTGGCTCGATGGTGCTTACCTTTTTCCTTCTTGAAAGCCATATTGACAGTCCTGTAAATGTACTTTCCAAAGTGGGGCTGCCATTTGCATGTGGAATAGACAAGCGTCAAAGGAGCCAAATCTACAAGATTTTATTTCTACTTTTCGTCTTTTTCGACGTGAGAAAGGAGCTGGTTGAAAAGACTATTAGAACGCTTTAAAATCAGAGAAGCTTAAAAAAATTTTTTTTTCCCACGTGAATCTTCTTCATTAGTATTTTTTCCCTCACTCCTGGCGTCTCTGAGGCACACACAGCTTTTTTCCCTGGGCGTGACTACTGTCAAAAAGAAAGGGGACATCCAAAGAAACGTTGAATCAATGAAGGCGGGGCTGTGGGATGCGGGATGCAAGCCACCCTTTTTCTCAGGTGGGCTCCTACACAGAGCTCCACCCTGAAGTCGACCGACCCGACTCAGCCTCAACATCGCCCCTCTACCCCAACTCCCATCCCCGACCCCCGCCACGGGCCGCTCCCCCTCCTCCCAGGTCCCCAACACTTTTACTCCTCCCTGCCATCCTAGAGAAATAGGAGACAGGAGAATCGGCGGCGGCGGTGGGGGGCGGGGGGTGGGAATAGAGAGACAGAGACAGAGAGAGACAGACAGAGAGAGAGAGAGACAGAGAGAGACAGACAGAGAGACACAGAGAGAGAGACAGGCATCCCAGAGGAAGAAGGTGGAAGCTTTGGGGCGGGGTCTGAGCAGACGGACCTCCTCTCTCAGCGGCGAGTAAGATGGTGGAGGAGAGAGAGGCTGGGAGGCAACCACAGTCCGGCGGGGTAACGTTCCTCAAACTAAACCAAAAGATCTTCTTACTATGTGGCTCGATATTTGGATCGTCGCTCTGCTTGTCAGGTGAGTTTACGAAGTTGTCAGCGGCGCCGTCCGGGGCACTGCGGGTGAACGAACGAAACCACAAACCTGGTCGTCCAGGTGTGCAGGGCTGCGGACAGGCTGTGCCGAGAACGGGCAACTCTTGAAACACCGCATTCACTTCCACGCTCTTTAAGCTAAAGGGGAGACATTTTCGGTGAAAGCCGGTGGCAGCCTCACGTGCAGTGGGCATTTCTCTGCCTTGGAAACTGCCTGGGATCAGAAAAAAAAAAGAATGGGGCTCAGTCTTTTGGGGAACAAAACCTTTCATCTCGCTTCTGTTAGTACCACACTCTCACCAAATCACTGGCCACGCCGAGCCTGCTTCCCTTTCCCTGCGGAAACGCGTTTAATGCGTCAAAATAACATTGCCTCCTTTTGAATGTTGAGAATGAAAAAAGTGTATATTGCCTCCTAACGTTTCACTGAAAACTAAGCAGGCAAATGTCATATCTCTCCTTATCCCCATTCCCTTAAACACCCCCTGCAGCTGCCACACCCACCCCTACCGGATCTTCAGCGCATCCTCCCTAGTGCTTGTATCTTTCGTTGTTGTTGTCTTTTGCTTGTTTTGAGACGGAGTTTCACTCTTGTTGCCCAGGCTTGAGTGCAGTGGCGCGATCTCGGTTCACTGCAGCCTCCTCCGATTCAACCGATTATTCTGTCTCCCCTTCCAGAGTAGGTGGGATTACAGGCACGCGCCACCAGACCCGGTTAATTTTTGTATTTTTAGTAGATACTGGGTTTCACCATGTTGGTCAGGCTGGTCTCCAAACTACTGAACTCCGATGATCCTCCCACCTCCCAAAGTGCTGGGATTACGCTTTCGCCACCGTGCCCGGCCTGTTCTTTTTATTTTTTACAATAAAGGGAAACAAAAGTGAACAGCTTCCTCGCTTCATGCCTTAATTTTCGATTCAAAGCAGCAGTGATTTAAAATAACCCTCCTATTCGGGAAAGCGAAATTCCAAACTAGTTATCCAATGGCCCGTACGGGGATCGAACCCGCGACCTTGGCGTTATTAGCACCACGCTCTAACCAACTGAGCTAACCGGCCACATGACGGCAACTTTCGTTTAAAGGAAAACACACATAAATTCATTGACATTTTTGTTTTTCTAAATAAAACGGAACTTCTCTTTTCCTTCTTACCCCCTTCAAAAGAGACATTAATGAGAATATTCACCGGTCTTACCAAGGAAGTCCAAGCTATTTTAACTCTAATCAGACTAGAAAATCCACCGATAAATCTTTGACAGAAGATGTGGAATAGGATTTTCAATGGTGAGTGAAGAGAATCTCCTCTTTTATTTAATTTTGTTGTTGTTAGACAACTATATATATTTGAACGTCACTGCTCCTTGAAGAGTAGGGCTAACGCGAAGGCGGTATGAGACTCAGCAGCATTCTCTTCTTTATTTATTATTTTTTTTTTTTGAGACTGATTTTCGCTCTTGTTACCCAGGCTGGAGTGCAATGGCGCGATCTCGGCTCACCGCAACCTCCGCCTCCTGGGGTCAGGCAGTTCTCCTGCCTCAGCCTCCCGAGTAGCTGGGATTACAGGCATGCGCCACCATGCCCAGCTAATTTTTGTATTTTTAGTAGAGACGGGGTTTCACCATGTTGACCAGGATGGTCTCGATCTGTTGACTTCGTGATCCACCCGCCTCGGCCTCTCAAAGCGCTGGGATTATAGGCGTGAGCCACCGCGCCCGGCCAGCAGCCTTCTCTTTTTAGAGGCGTGTCAGTGTACCGGATCGCAAGTTGCAAACTTCTCTTTAGTGACTTGTCACTTAAGGACCTATTGTTTTCAGCGCCGCCGAAAGGAAGTCGAATTGGGCCTTCTCAGTGTCTCTGGAGTCACAGACGTAAGCATCGATGTCATCAGCGAAGATACCCAGGGGTGGAAACTGAGGTAGCCCAACAGTACCAGAATCACATAGTAAAGCTGTTATGTTTTTCGAGGGTGGTAGAAAAGCACTACAGAGGTTTGCAGAAGGGCAAGATTGTCGTGGCACCCCGCCAAGTGTTAAGTCTCATTTAACAGCACTTGCTGTGTGTCTCTCCAGGGAACTGGAGATTTCGGCCCGGGTCGAAGAGTCCAGAATAGGTTACATGTGCTCTGCCATCCTTGGTCAGGCTAGTGGTTTTATCACCTGGAGACAAGTCGAGGGCATCTCAGCGTCAGGAACTCTCTCTCTACATAAGCCTGGGGTTTCCTTTGTGTTTTGGGAACTTTCAAGCTCACTGACGCCTACAACACTTTTAACGACTATATTAACAGTTAAATGAATCAGCGAGTAACGATTTTGTTGATTCTAAAACTGACGCTGGCGCCAGGAAAAAGTGTCGGAATTCTAGTGTTACTCTTAAGGTATTCCTGCCCGGCGCGGTGGCTCACGCCTGTAATCCCAGCACTTTGGGAGGCCGAGGCAGGTGGATCACGAGGTCATGACATCGAGACCATCCTGGTCAACATGGTGAAACCCCGTCTCTACTAAAAATACAAAAATTAGCTGGGCATGGTGGCGCGTGCCTGTAATCCCAGCTACTGGGGAGGCTGAGGCAGGAGAATTGCCTGAACCCAGGAGGCGGAGGTTGCGGTGAACCGAGATCGCGCCATTGCACTCCAGCCTGGGTAACAAGAGCGAAACTCCATCTCAAAAAAAAAAAAAAAAGATATTCCCTTACCGACGGAGTCTCGCTGTGTCGCCCAGGCTGGAGGGCAGTGGCGCCGTCTCGCCTCGCTGCAGGTGCTTCCTTGTTTCCTTCTCCCTGTCTTCAAGAGCTCTTATCCTGGTTGTCAAGAACTGAGGATTCTACTTGCCGAAAAATCACACGAAAGGAAACTCTCTGACACAGTTCCTGCAGTCACACGTCCTCTTCACCCGTCTCGGAGAATTTCATTCTGGCTTTTGAGGACCCGTCTTGCACATTCCGACGGTGTTTACAAACCTCCGACGTTCACATGTAAAGCTACAGCCAGGGAATGAATTTATCACACATGACATCAACGCCGGAGGACGGCCCTTTTCTCCTCCTTCGGGCAAACGGGGCTGATCTAGCGTTCCCGTGCTCTGTCCCGAGGCCTGCGCCGCCCTGGCTCTGACAGCACAAGCCTGAGCGCTTGCTCTTTCTTTTGTAACCAAAACCAAATACTGCTGGAGATCTGCACCTGGGGCTGGAGGAATCACATTTTTTGCTGGTAACACCTAAGATTTAAATCTGCTCTCCTCACCCACCCGCACCTTCAGTTGTGTTTCCCGATGCAGTCAAGGTCCCAAAACCATTTTATTCTTTACCTTCCTTTGTTAACGTTACCAGCAGAAATTCCAGACAAAAGGTCCGGTATGAGGTTTTCAGTCCTTCCTGAACCATACACATGGTGTAAAATGATGATCAAATCTCCCTGGATCTTACAACTTAACTATCTCCGTATCCTCCTCAGAAACAACTGGATTTCTTACTTTATCTTCCCAAAAATAACCTATGAATAACCAACTATGCCATTAATATATTCACCTATATTATCGGCGATACACAGAGAACATCTGCCACAACGGTCTTGTAAGATAATTTCTTTTCTCTTTCTTTCTCTCTCTCTTTCTTTCTTTTTTCTTTTCTTCCTTTCTTCTTTCTCTTTCCTTCTCTCTTTCTCTCTCTCTTTCTTTCTCTCTTTCTTTCTTTCTTTCTTTCTTTCTTTCTTTCTTTCTTTCTTTCTTTTCTTTTCTTTTCTTTTCTTTCTTTCGACAGAGTCTTGCTCTGCCCAGGCTGGAGGGCAATAGCATAATCTCGGCTCACGTCAGCCTCCACCTCCCGGGTTCAAGCGATTCTCCTGCCTCAGCCTTCCAAGTAGCTGGGATTACAGGTGCACACCACCAGGCCCAGCTAGTTTCTGTATTTTTAGTAGAGACGGAGTTTCACCTTGTTGTCCAGGCTGGTATCGAACTCCTAACCTCAGGTGATCCGCCCGCCTCAGCCTCCCAAAGTGCTGGGATTACAGGCATGAGCCACAGCTCCCGGCCTTGTAAGATAATTTCAAAATATTTATGTTATATTCCAGTTTAGGTTATTTTAATTATGTAACACTGCCTCAGGAAAAAATACTGAGTCAATACTAACAACATATTTTTTAAATCGAAGACTGCCTCACGAAAAACACTGAATCAATGTAAACCCAGCTACTCAGGAGACTTGAACCCGGGAGGCGGAGGTTGCAGTGAGCTGACATTGTGCCACTGCACTCCAGCCTGGAGGAAAGACCAAGACTCTGTCTCCAAAAAAAAGTGCTTATGCCCTGATTCTTGCGTATTTAATAACATGTAAGTGCACCCTGGATGAGGTAGGGAATAAACTCGCTTTCTTCCCCTCAAAGAATTACTGAAATCCGTGGAGGAGTACACGTTTATGGGCACGGAACTGCGTTCTGTGAAATGACTTACGAGAGCCGTTTTCATGATAAGGACAAATGCATGTATCCCTTTGCCATATAAATGTCGCTATGGACTTACATATTAGTAGATGGTTTCGTTGGAGGCCAGCTCACAGTTCCCACTGCCAGGTGTTAATTTAGCAAGGTCGACATGTACAACAGAGTCCCAAAACACCTGCCGAAACCCGGGATTGAACCAGGGACCTTTAGATCTTCAGTCTAACGCTCTCCCAACTGAGCTATTTCGGCCACCCTCCAAAATTTCTTCTAGTAAATTGCTTTCAAATCACCCTTCATGAATACCCTCCTCATTTTCTTTCTGGGTGCCGCATTTCCTTAGAATATTAATTGGATGGGCATAGGGATTTGGTGATTCCAAACGTCCTGCTGAGATGGGATGCTTCCTAGAATTGAAGACACCACCATCTGGGATAATTTCTTTGTTTTTCTTTTTTTTTTTTTAGATGGAGTTTCGCTCTTGTTACCCAGGCTGGAGTGCAATGGCGCGATCTCGGCTCACAGCAACCTCCGCCTCCTGGGTTCAGGCAATTCTCCTGCCTCAGCCTCCCCAGTAGCTGGGACTACAGGCACGCGCCACCATGCCCAGCTAATTTTTTGTATTTTTAGGAGAGACAGGGTTTTACCATGTTGACCAGGATGGTCTCGATCTCTTGACCTCGTGATCCACCCACCTCGGCCTCCCAAAGCGCTCGGATTACAGGCGTGAGCCACCACGCCCGGCCGTGGCTGACTTCTTTTTTTTCACTGAGCAGCATTTCATTGTATACCACAGTTTGCTCAACTATTCACCTATTGAAGGACATTTCGGTTGCTTCCAAGTTTTGAAAAATTATGAATAAAGTTACAAACACTCACGTGCAGGTTTTTTGTGGACTTAAGCTTTTTATTCTTTGGGTAAACATTAAGGAGTACAATTGCTGAATTTTATGGTAAAAGTGTGTTTAGCTTTTTAAGAAACTGCCAAATTGTCTTTCAAACAGGTGATACCATTTTGCATTTCCACGAGCAGTGAATGAGAGTTAGTGTTGCCCACATCCTCACCAGCACTTGGCATTGGCAGCGTTCTGGATTTTGGCCATTTTAATAGGTATGTTGTGTTATTTCATTTTTAAAAATTTGAATTTCCCTGAACATGTGCTATGGAGCATCTTTTCCTATGCATATTAATCACCTGTGTATCCTCTTTGGTGAAACGACTGTTAAGGTCTTCCGCCATTTTTTCACGGATAGTTTGTGTTCTTACTGATGAGTTTTAAGGACTCTCTGTGTGTTTTGAATACGGTACTTTTTACATGTATTTTCTCCCAGCGTGTGGCTTGTCTTTTCACTCTCTTGATGCGATGGTTTTTTGATCACTAGCACCTGTTTTTGGCTCTTTCTGAGAATTTTGTCTTTCCGCTTACATTGCTCATGTGTCCTTACATGCTGTCATCTTATTCTCAGCATCTTAATCGCTTGTTTCGAATTCCTGGTATGAGAATTCCAACATCCCTGTCTTATCTGAGTCTGGTTCTGATGCTTTCTCTGTCTCTTTAAACCGTGTATTTTGCCTTTTATTGTGCATTGTTACTTTTTTCTTGATAGCAGGACATGCTGTACTGGATAAAGTGAGCTACTATGAGCAGGCCTTTAGCAATGTGGTGGCAAGGTGTGGGGGAAGACAGCATTCTGCAGTCCCACAATTGGGGTTCAGAGTGTCAGTGATCCTGTGTCTCTGGACTGTGAACTTTGAACACGCTTCCCAGGTTTCCCCCACTTTAGGTGGGACTGGATGTCCAGAGTGAGCTGGATTTGGTTATTTCCCTTCCCACACATCTATCCGGCTCTTGATAAAACCCCGGCAGGTTAGGCTGAGGTTAAATAGTTTCTCCTGAGGGCAGACCTTGTTAAGAAGAACAAAATGCTCTTGTCTATTGCAATCTGCTTCTTGCTCACCGCTGCTGGAAACAGAGGGAATTTTTCTCCCTCATTGTGAGAACCTGGTTCAGCTCCTGAGATAAAATTCACAAATTTGTAGCTGGAGATTTTTCCCCTGAGATTTGTCCACAGAAAGCCTCGAGCAGCTTGTTAGGTACAGCTCAGGTGTCCCTGCCCCAGCACTGATTCACGAGGAGGCTTTTGCTCTGTGGGTTTCTGCTGTGCTAAGCTGTGGTTCTCTGCGTTTGCCTTTCTTTCTCTCCAGTTTTGGGGTCAGTGGTTTGCCCTGTGACCTCACAGGGAGTGTGGATTCTCCTGTTTTTAGTTCCATCGTGGCTGTGTTGTTGTTGTTTTTCTTTTCACTGTTTAGTACTTTTCACTGTGAATCATCAGGTTTCCTTAACTTTTAATTTTGAAATTATTACAGATTAACAAGGAGTTGCAAAGAACGTAGACAACTTCAGGGACAATGTAGACAACTTTTCAAAGAGCAAACTTCTGGTTTTATTGAATTGTCTATATTGTTTTCAGCCTGCCTTCTATGACAGCCTGCCCTATGGATTTAGCACTTTGTAACCAGTTCCAAGTCCATAAGCATATTAATTCTTCATTAATCAGTCTCTTCCTGGGCACCTCTCTCCCAATCCCTCCCTGTCTCCTTCTCTCCCTCCCTCCTCTCTCTTCCACTGCCTGCATCTTACACACACACACACACACACACACACACACACACACACACACAATGAACACACCTGGGAAACTGGGAAACTGGAGAGCATTTCCAGTTCCTTTTCAGTTACTACCCACTCTCCCCAGAGTGAAGCACTATTGTGACTTCTGGCTGCACTGGGGAATCTTTTTTTTCTTTTTTCCTTTCTTTCTTTCTTTTATTTATTTATTTTTTTGAGATGAACTCTCACTCTTGTCCTCCAGGCTGGAGTGCAATGGTGTGATCTCGGCTCACTGCAACCTCTGCCTCCCAGATTCAAGTGATTCTCCTGCCTCAGGAGTAGCTGGGATTACAGGCACCTGCCACCACGCCCAGCTAATACTTAGCAGAGACGGGAGTTTCACCTCTTGGCCAGGGTGGTCTCGAACTCTTGATCTCAGCTGATCCTCTGCTTTGGCCTCTCAAAGTACTGGGATTATAGGCATGAGTCACCTTGCCTGGCGACCAGGGGAATCTTCTCTGCTTTATAATTTAAATCAGTAGAGCCACAGAGTACTTCCTTTTCTGTCTAGTTTATTCTAATCAACATTGCTGTGTGATTCATCCACATAGTTGTAGATTGTTCATTGTTGTTGCAATGGATTATTTGATGTGAATTCATTCATGCATCTGCTGACGGGCACTTGGGAAGATGGATTGTGTTGCTCTAGGTGTCTCAACTCTAGCCCCCTGCAGACAGGGGTGTTTCCGTAGTGTAGTGGTTATCACGTTCGCCTAACACGCGAAAGGTCCCTGGTTCGAAACCAGGCGGAAACAAGTGTTTAGCTTTTTTCTTATATTTTGTTTCTGAGACTCACCTTTCGAACCAGATAGAATCTTTGTATATGGTCAAGCACCTAAATCAAAGGATCTCATATCCTCCTTTTTTATTTGAGCCACCTCAGGAACGCGTATGCTCCTTTCTTTGTCCTGAGCCACAGTGAAGTCCACATTGCCCCACCTTCCCGAGCCCCAGCACGTCGCTGTCCCAGCCCCCTCCCCTATGCTCTGCATGGCCTGTAGATTCTAGGGCCCAGTGGTGTCAACTCCAGCAGGCTCTCGTGGTGCAGGAGAGATTGGCTTCCTTGAAATCTCCAGAGCCACTTGTGTGGGTTCTTCACAGAGCGATTTTCCTCAGGCATTTCTAAAAATAAACGATGCTTAGGACACAGGCTCATGAGAAAAAAAGAAACAGGGCTGCACTTTGAGGCAAGTGAAGAATTAATATTCTATTGTGTGCCCTTTACTCCTAAGTGCAGAGGGAAGTTTTCACAAAATAGGCGAATGGCAATTTCGTGTGGATACTTATAAGCTGCCAAGTGTTGTTTTTTTTTTTTTTTTAAAAAAGGCTGGGCATGGTGGCTCAGACCTGTAATCCCAGCACTTTGGGAGCCTGAGGCTGGCAGATCACTTGAGGTAAAGAGTTCAAGACCAGCCTGGCCAACATGTCAACACACTGTCTCTATTAAAAAATGAATAAATAAATAGATACTGGGCTGGCTTCTGTGAGTACTCGACGCCAGAAGTTGGCATTATTGGTAAGATGCACTAATCAACTGAATTGATTAGTAACCAAAAAACTGATTTCTTTAACTTAAGAGTGTGCTACGCCAGGTGAGGTGGCTCCGGCCTGTAATTCCATCACTCTGGGAGGCCGAGGTGGGCGGATTACCTGAGCTCAGGAGTTTGAGATCAGTCTGGCCAACATGGCAAAACCCCTTCTCTACAAAAATACAAAAATTAGCTGGGCATGGTGGCATGCATCTGTAGTCCCAGCTACTTGCGAGGCTGAGGCACAATAATTACTTGAACCTGGGAGGAGGAGGTTGCAGTGAGCCAAGACTGTGCCACTGCACTCCAGCATGTGTAGGGCTAAGGGCCCCACAGGGTCATGGGGTGTCCCTTATGCTGTGCTGAGGTGCAGGATCTGAGAAATAAAGAGACAGGGCACCGAAGTAGAAGGAAAACACAGCTGGGCTCAGGGGGGGCATGCCACCTATAAGCAGAGACAGGCGAGGCCCCAAATGTCCAGAAGTGTCTGTATTTATTGGGTATAGGTTAGGGGGCAGGGTAGTGACTGAAATCATCTCTAAGGATAGTGATAGGGTTGTGAGCAATAAAACAAGGGGTCCACCCCCATTACGTCACGTAGGCTAGGAGGTGGACAGTGTGCAGCAAGGGGTCCATTCCCATTAGGTCATCGAGGCATGGAGGTGGGCTGTGAGCAGTGAAGAGGGTGCAGTGTGCAACACTCTATCTATGGGCGTGCTACTCAGAAGATTTATAGGATGCTTTGAGTCAAGCAACAGTGACAGAACTGTCAGGGTCTATGCCGCCTGCTGGCAGCTTCTACCGAGTTCTGTAGGGGAATGCTTTTCAAGCAGCACAGTAACAAGAGTTGATAAAGTTCACAGTCACGAAGCTGCGATTATCCAGAGGGGTTTTGAGCCCTTGGATGCTCAAGGACTTGCCGATCTGAGGGCAGCCTTCCACAAGACCCGGAGCAAGGTCCCACAACTCCTTTTTCAGGAGGAGTGGCTCAGGCCCCAAGCCTGCCATACAGCGGGTATCTTTACGATACTGAATGCTGGGCCCTGCCTGGGCCATGGATTCTTGTCCTGGTATAACTGTTTTCTGCTTTGGGGGGCCGACTAGGTTTTCTTTGCCACCACCCTCAGCAAACAATATGATATATCACACATGTCAGAATTTGCTCTCAACAAACTAGAGATCTGACAGGCCCCTGGAGGTGAGGTTGAAAGTGTGACCCATGAGGAGGTGCGCTATGCTTGAAAAGAACTGTTTGAGTTGTCTCACTGACACAAGCAGAAATCTGGAGAACAGGCATGGGAACGGACACGAAGAGTATGGGATGATGATGGAAAGAACAAAGAGTTGGATCAGGCCGAATTTATTGATTTGGGTGCACTAAATAGGGACTCTGCTTTTAATGTTGCAGCTCGGGGAGTTAAAATAAAGGTTCTAATGATTTATTTGCTTGGTTAGCTGAAATATGGATTCAAAGATGGCCCGCTATGAGCGAGCTGGAAATGCCTGATCTCCCTTGATTTAATGTAGAGGAAGGGATCCACAGTGGAGTGGATGAGTCACTTTACACCTACTCATCCCAGCTGGGAGGGTCCGGAAGCTATATCCTTGACCACGGTCTGCAAAATGGATTTGTGAGGGCATCTTTGAAGAACCCTGTAATTGCTCTTCTCTGTATGTCAGATCTAACAGAGGGAACTGCAGTCACTCAACTACAAGATTTAAATACAATGGGAGTAACTGGATCCTGAGGTGGCAGGGGCCAAGTGGTGGCACTCAGCTGTCAAAGGCAAGGTGGGCATAGCTACCGTAATGGGCAGCAGAGTCAGAGCAGCAATCAAAATAGTCTGACTGATGTAGAGCCCTGGCACTGGCTAGTTAATCACAGTGGTCCTAGAAGTGAAATTCATAGGAAGCCTACCACATTTCTACTTAATTTATACAAGCAGAAAACTTCCGAGTTGAATGGACAAAACACAAATTTGAATTATAAAAACAGAATCTTGGCCCCTCAGTTAATTTCTAGACCTGAGCCAGTTTATAGGCACAGAACCCCTTGAATGAAGGGGAGGCCCTCGAGGAAGGGCTCCACTACATCACTGACAATTCATGCAGTGACTCTTTCTCTCGTCTCTCCCCAAGGATACCTCCGACCTTTTACCAGGTAACTGTGTCCTGGGGAAAGGGAAATGATCAGACATTTTACAGGCCACTGGACACTGGTTCTGAGCTGGCATTGATTCCAGAGGACCCAAAATGTCATTATGCTCCTCCAGTTAAAGTAGGGACTTGGCTGGGCACAGTGGCTCACCCCTGTAATCCCAGCACTTGGGAGGCAGAGGTGGGCAGATCACGAGGTCAGGTGATTGAGACCATCCTGGCCAACTTGATGAAACGTCGTCTCTACTAAAAATGCAAAAGTTAGCTGGGCGTTGTGACACGTGACTGTAATCCTAGCTACTCGGGAGGCTGAGGCAGGAGAATCGCTTGAACCCGGAAGGTGCAGATTGTGATGAACCAAGATTATGCCACTGCACTCCAGCGTGGCATGGAGGGAGACTCCATCCAACTAACAGTGGGTCCCTGGACTCATCCTGTGGTCATCTCCCCAGTGCCAGAATGCACAACTGGCATAGACATACTTAGCAGAACCCCCACATTGGCTCCCTAACTGTTAGAGTGGGGGGCTCTGATGGTGGGAATGACCAACTGGAAGCCATTAGAGCTGCCTCTACCTAGAAGAATGGCAAATCAAAAAGAATATTGCATTTCTGGAGGGACTGTGGAGGTTAGTACCACCACGAAGGACTTGAAAGATGCAGGGGGGCTGATCCCCACCACATGCTGTTCAACTCTCCCATTTTGCCTGTGCAGAAGACAGTCGGCTCTTGGAGAATGACAGTGGATCATCGTAAGCTTAACCAAGTGGCGACTCCAGTTGCATCTGCTGTACCAGACTGCCTTTCACTTCTGCAGGATACCACACTGGTCCATTACATGGATGACATTATGCCCATTGGATCCACTGAGCAAGAAGTAGCAAACACACTGGACTTATTGGTGAGACGTTTGTGTGCCAGAGGATGGGAAATAAATCTGACTAACATTCACGGAACGTCTACCTCAGTAAAATTTCTAGGGGTCCAGTGGTGTGGGGCCTGTCGAGAAATCCCTTTAAAAAAAAAAAAATCATTAGAAAACTGCATTGCTGCTTTCCGTTTTGAACAACTCCCCAGAAGTTGGTAGAATCTAAGATCAAGCCATGGAAACTGGGATAGCCACAGTCCCTGACTGGTCAGAGTGTCACAAAGGAAACAAGAAAGCCACTTGTGACACTTTTTTTGTGCCTCCGGCAATTTTATTTTTATACCATGTCCTTAAAATCATGTGGTTGTGGTCTTAAGTAATACATATGTAACATCACGTACTGCATTCACTTTTAAAATATTATCAAGGAGACTCTTCTGTTGAAAATATCCTGAAGCAATCTCTTTTCTAGCTGTGATTCTGGGGCCATAACCACACCCAGACTTTTGCATTCGCCTTTCCCTCTGCTTGGACCTGTCTTTACCACAAATTTCCTAGACTTTCTACCTTATTTCCTGAAGGCCTTTGCTTTCATGTCACTTGTCACTTGCTGAGAGAGGTCTCCTAAGGTGATCCTATATAAAATGGCATCCCAGTACATATCCTGGTATCCTCTATACTGCTTGTCACATATTTTAATTTTTCTCTATAGAACTTATCACCACCGTGTCTAATTATGTATTTATCTTAGTTGTTTATTTTTTATCTCTTCCTGTTATGTTATAACTTAGGTCTCAGAGATCGGGGCTTTCTTTTCCCCCTACTGTAGTCTCAGCACTTAGAAGGGATGTGGTGAACAGCAGCCATTGCATATTTGGTGATTTTGTTTTTCTTGTTTTTTTAGAGAAAGTCTTGTTCTGTTGCCCACATGATCTTAGCTCACTGCAGCCTCAAACTCTTGGGCTCGGGCTATCCTTACAGTGCAGCCTTCCATAACGTTGGGTTACGGGTATAAGCCACTGCGCCTGGCCCTACATATTTGTTGAATGATTGCATTGAGATAAAGAGCACAGGAGGGAGAGTGGATTTGAAGTTGATAATATTCCCATGTGTCGATGTTACAGACCTGTGAGAATTTCCAGTCATAAATGTCCGGTGTGTAATAGGATTCATGGTTCTGTATTCAAATGAAACGTCTCAGAAGAAAGTAATGCTGTAGGCCTCAGAGAGTTGTTCTAATCCAGAGAATAAATACAACACAAAGAATCTGTGACGGTTACTCTTACGGGTCACATGGACTTGGTTAGGGGTGCCCAGAAAGCGGGCGCAACATTGTTTCCATGCAAGTGTTTCTGAAAGAGATTAGCATTTAAATCAGTAGGCTGAGTAGAGAAGGTCCGTTGTCATCAGTGTGGGCGTCATCCAGTCTGTGAAGGGCCCCAGACAGACAAAACAAACAACGGGGGAGGAAAAGTAAATTTGCTGTCTCTTCTGGAGCAGGAGGAGCCATTTTTCCTCTGCTGGACGTCAGAGCGCCACATTCTCGGGCCTTCAGATTCTGGGACTGTGGTCACTTCACCTCCCTTCTCAAGCCTTCAGACTCAGCCTAAATTATATCACTGGCTTTCCTGGTTCTTCCGTGTGCAGAGAGTACATTGTGGAGCTCTCTGGCCTCATAGTCATGTGTGCCAATTCCAATAATAAATAATTATATAGATCTGTATATATTTTACTGGTTTGTTTCTCTGGAGAACAGTTATTAATGCAGAGTTTAGTAACAAGACTGGTTCTACAGAAAATTTTTTTTTTTTTTAAGAGATGAGGATCTCACTATGTTGCCCAGGCTGGATTTTCTCCTGGGCTCAACTGATCTCTCCCAAGTAGCTGGAACCGCCATGTCTGGCTCGAGAAACACCTTTGAATTAACACACAGAATTTTAAGGATGAAGAAACACACAGAATTTTAAGGATGAATTTGCTGAATTGGTTTTTGAATTTCTGGAATTGGCCCTGTAATCTGATCAGACTTAAAGATGCGAAGGACTCTATTTCCAGGTATAGAGAGAGCACTAATAGTCAATGGCATAAGTTGCGTATAGAAATATGCACATATCTGCATTAGATATGTTAAATTTAGCCTAAAGCTTTCTTCTTACACATACCAAGTTTGACCTAAAGGTTCCTCCATGCACAGTGAACTATGACCTGAGTGTATAACAGGCTGTAACCTATCTTCGAACCAGTCATTGAGTTTCAGCGAGTCACAGTCAGCCAAGTCTTCTCACCGTGTTAGGCAAACACCAACGCGTAACCAATCCGGCTGTTTCTGTACCTCACTTCTATTTTTTTGTACCTCACTTCCCTTTTTCTGTCCACACATCTTTGACCATGTTTTTTCTCTGGTGACCAAATCTTTCACCAGAGTATTTCTGAACCTTTTCAGGTTCGAGAGCTGCCTAATTTGTGAATCCTTCTTTGCTCAATTAAACTGTGTTAAATTCAGTATTTTTTTTTTTTTTTTTTTGAGACGGAGTTTCGCTGTTGTTACCCAGGCTGGAGTGCAATGGCGCGATCTCGGCTCATCACAACCTCCGCCTCCTGGGTTCAGGCAATTCTCCTGCCTCAGCCTCCCGAGTAGCTGGGATTACAGGCATGTGCCACCATGCCCAGCTAATTTTTGTATTTTTTAGTAGAGACGGGGGTTTCACCTTGTTGACCAGAATGGTCTTGATCTCTTGACCTCCTGATCCACCCGCCTCGGCCTCCCAAAGTTCTGGGATTATAGGTGTGAGCCACCGCGCCCAGCCCAGTCTGTCTTTTTTGGGGGGATAGGGGAGAGGGAGACAGAGTCTCGCTCTATTGTGTAGGCTGAAGTGCACTGGCACAATTTTGGCTTGCTGCAGCCTCTGCCTCTTGGGTTCAACCGATTCTCATGCCTCAGCCTCCCGAGTAGCTGGGATTACAGGCATGCACCACCATGCCTGGCTAATTTTCATATTCTTAGTAGAGATGGGGTTTTGTCATGTTGATCAGGCTGGTCTTGAACTCTGACCTCAGGTGATCCACTTGCTTCAGCCTTTCAAAGTGCTGGAATTACAGGCGTGAGCCACCGCACCCAGCCTAAGGTTTTCCTTTTAACAGCTACTCCTAATCAGCCACTTATATGGATCAATGAACTAAGTAACTCTGCATAAATAATACTTTTGAACATTTTTGGAAAACTAAGGAAAATAATATCTTAGCTCGTTGCTCCTATTGCCACCCAGCAAAATGGTGAAAGAAAAAAAGTAAGCTCAGGAATTTAAAGGTCTCAGTTCAAGCACCACAATAAATGACCTAAGAGCTTTTCATTATCCCCTTAGGGAGAGTCTTACTTCCTACAGTTGTGGGACTGAAATTGCTGAAAATCAAACACAAGTCACAATCCTATAATTGGCTAAATTATAATAGATTTGAACAACCAGCCTCACAGGGTGTCTTCTGTTAAAGTGAGGACATGGATTGGGGAAAGAATGCGATTCTGTAAATTGGGATGGATTGTGTGGAAAGGTCCTGATGAAGCTGGGGACATGGAGCTCTCCTAGATTCTGATGAGTTTTCTTTGTGGGTGGAAAAGGTCTCCTCACCCCCACTGATATCAGCCTGTCTACCTCTGTCTGACGGGATTTGCCCTGTGTTGCCTGAGGAAACAGTAATGGCCTCCCTTGAGGTAGGTGCCATATAAGATATTGCTGAAGACCTATAACTACACTAAATCCCAGCAGGCCCTAGAGGCAAAGGTCAAAGTGTGAGCTGTGAAGAGGTGTCCTATGTTGCAAAACAATGACTGAGTTTTCTCATTTATATAAGCAGTAATCTGGGGAACACGTGTGGGAATTCGATATGAAGAGTGGGATAATGGTAGAGGGAGCATGACGTTGGATCAGGTTGAATTTGTAGCTATGGATCCACTAAACAGAAGTGCTGCTTTTAATGTTGTAGCTCAGGGAATTAGAAGGGGCTTTTGTGGTTTGTTGGCTGAAACATGCATCAAAAGATGGTCCACTGCAGGCGGATTGGAGATGCTTGATCTCCCTCGGCTTAATGTAAGGAGGGGATTCAAAAGCTCAGGGAGATGGGAGTGTTAGGGAGTGCAGATTTGCCACTTAAACCTACTCACTCACGGTGGGAGAGTCCCGAAAATATAACTCTCAACGATACTTTGAGCAATAAATTGTGAGGGAAGTCCCAGCATCCTTGAAGAGCTCTGCAATTATCTTCTGTGTAGGTCTGGAACAGGGAAGAAAATGGGATTCTTTAAGTTGGGACGGTAATGTGTGCAAAGACCCTGAGGAAGCTGAGGACATTGAGCTGCATGTGGAAACCACAGCCACTTGACTGGAAAACCTAAATGCAGTGGACATAACTGGATCTCAGGGTGGCAGGGGCCAAATGGTGGCACTCAGTCATCAAACAAAGGGAACCGAGGAGTTAAAGCCGCCATCAGAATAGCCTGACTCTCACAGACCTGTGGCTTCAGCTAGTTGATCATGGTGTCCCCAGAAGTGAAAGGCCACTATGTTTTTTTTTAGCAGAATGACGTTTTTATCTTACCATTATGCATAAAAAGGAGGTAAATATGTCAATGGTGCACTTCTAATCCGTCAGAGCACTTTCACAGTATTTATGCAATTTAGGAAAGAGTCGTATGAGTTGTTAAATTGTTACCAGGGCAAATTATCAAGTAAGACAATCAACTACTTGACCTGCATAAGCACAGAACTACCGGGTCAAGTGAACAAAAGTCTAACTCAGTAAAAGCAGTCACGGCTTCTCAGTGCCCAGACGAGCCAGGTGTAGACTCAGAACCCTTTGCATGAAGTGGCAACGGGGCCTTCTTGAGGAGGGACCTGGTATGCTACCAAAAATTCATAGGATTAATCTTTCTCCCAGCCTTCCTCAAGGGGACCTCCCATCTTTGACCAGAGTAACTGAGTGCTGGGAGCAAGAAAATAATCACTCTTTAGGGACTGCAGTTCGGAGCCGACACTGATTCCAGGAAACCCCAGCATCACTATGGTACTCCAGTCACAGTCGAGCCTTACAGAAGTCAGGTGCCCAGTGAAGGTTTAGCTCAGGTCTGACTCACAGTGGGTCCAGTAAGTCCCTGAAGCCATCCTGTGGTGACTTCCCCAGGTTCAGAAAGCATATTGGAATAGACACACTTAGCATCTGGCAGAATCCTCACATTAGTTCCCTGACCTATGGAATGAGGGCTATTAAGGTAGGAAAGAACAACTGGAAGTCATTAGAACGGCCTCTACCGAGGAAAATAGTGAAGCAGAAGCGATACCACACTTCTGGAGGGATTGCAGAGATCAGCGCCACCATCAAGGACTCGAAAGATGCGGGCGTGACTGAGTGCCACCACTTGGCCCCTGCCACCCTGAGATCCGGTTATGTCCATTGCATTTAGGTTTTCCAGTCAAGTGGCTTCCACATGCAGCCTCCTCCGGCCTTCAGAATCTGGGACTCCAGCGGCAGAGTCTCCCTTCCTGCTGGCCCACTGCTTCCTCAGGCTTTGGACCCAGACCTGAATCCTACCACTGTTTTTCTGATTCTCTAGCTTGCAGACGGCATATTGTGCAATGTCTCATCTCCATAATCCTGTGAGCCAATTCTCATAATTCCTCTTATTTACCTTTATATATCCTCGTGGTTCTGTTTCTCTGGGGAACCCTGACTAACACAGAATGTGTATATCATTACATGTGTGGAAAGCTGAGGACAGAACTGTGGGGGAATATTCATATTTAAGGAACAGGAGGAAGATTCTGCGAGACCAAACGAAACCTAGGAAAGACCGGATAGAAGTATAGCAACCTGGAGTCAAGTATTTCGGACATCAGCATCCAGATAAATGTGTTTTTTCAAACAAGGCAGTCTGTTTATTTTTTGACGAAATTAGGAAGAAATACATACCCAGCCCCTTACGTCTGATGTTTCACTCCTGGGGGAAACAGCATTTCTTGGTTCCTAGTCAGGTTTTTATCAAGTAGGCAGCGGGGCTGTACTCAGAACGCGTTCAGGCTTCACAGGTGGAGTTTATCCACTTCACTGGCCACCCTGTGGACATCAGAACTAAGGTACCTGGGAGCACCTTCTGCACATTGATGAACCCTGGAGACACCTGCACGAAATCACAGAGAATATGACTCAGTTTTTCCACCTCCTTTGCTCAGTCCCCAAAGAGCTGAAGAATAGTTTTTAAAGGGAGGCAGGAAGCTTCGTTGAAGCTGTGCAACCTGGTGTGAGGCCTCCCGATGGAGGAGAAATGAGTTTGGTGGATGAGTTCAATTTGGGTCTTGATGGTTTTTGGGTTTTTTTCCCTTCTCTGAAATCTGCCAAACATCCCCCTTTATCAAAGGAATCTTTCTGGGCTCACCACGGAAAATGTATCCCTTTTACTTTAAAGAGAAGGGAAAAATGCATGACGGTGAAATGTCTGAAATCGCATTTGGAAGAAAACATGCTCCAGGTGAGGCTCGAACTCACAACCTCGGCATCACCCGCACATATACTGTCGTATAAGTACCGCGCGCTAACCGATTGCGCCACTGGAGCATGCTTTCCCCAGCCTGGCCATGCGCACTCTACAGAGCCGTGAGCTCCCCTCGCGCCGGAGCGGGAGCGCGCGGAGCCGCCGGGGACCCTCCGTCGGCGGCCGCCGGCCTCCGCAGGAAACGCGATCTGATCCAGATGTGTCCGTCTCTCCTGGGAGACGTATGTGATCCTGCCCCTGCGCCACCAGGAGCCAACGTTTCCCGGGGAGATGCGGGCGCTCTTTTCACAAAGCCGGAGAAAAGCCGAGGAGAAAAAGGAGCCCCTCCGGCTTCCCGTTGCCACCATTCTAGCAAAACCCGGCTTCTGGGGCGGACGCCAGCCGTTTGGCTTCTTCGTGGTTTCACCGCGCACCGCCCCGCGGGCCTGCGACGCTTTCAGACCGAGGACGAGCGGACGCGGAGCTCGCCCCTGCCTCCCTCTGCGCGTCTCCCCGCGCCCGCGCGCTCCCGGCGGCCTTCCCAGCCTCGCCTGCCGCGCGCCCGCTTCGCAGCCCGGCATCTCGCTGCTGTCCATCCGCCCTCCCCGAAGCCCTCCCGGAGGCTGCCTGAAAGCCGCATTCGGAGTCGCAGAGCCAGCTGGTCAGGCGACCTCTTCTGGGAAACGGGCACCGCAGCAACTCCTTTCCGCGCAGCAGGTGACCCCGCCCCGGCGCCCCACCTCCGTCTCCACCCTTTACCTGTTCATTGCACTTCGCCTCTGTGACGCAAACCCTCAGTAACCTCATCTCTGGGGCCGCAGTTTTAAGGCCGATTTTGTTTGCTGCCTGTTTGTTTGATTGGGGTCTGGGAAACCGCAGCTCAGTACCCACAAGACATACACACGAGACATGACGTCTGTTCGCTTTTGGAGAAGAAAAGTCAACCAGAAGAGTTGCGTAGAAGGAGCAATAGCCTATATTCCCGACCACCGAACACAACAGACAGGACTGAGAATAACAGGTCAGTGACCACGTTCCTCCACACTTGGAAAAAATGAAAAAAGGACCACGTTCCTCCACACTTGGAAAAAATGAAAAAAGGACCAAGTTCCTCCACACTTGGAAAAAAATGAAAAAAGGACCAAGTTCCTTCATACTTGGAAAAAAATGAAAAAAGGAACGGCTTCTGTATCTCGATGTCTATTGCATAGCTGTTTTGGGAGCATTTCATGTTTTAAATAACAGGTTGAGGTGAGGAGCAGTGAGAGGCCACACAGGCGCTTTGGTAGATGACCGCCTCGCCAGAGAAGCTCCTGCCTTCTCACTACACAGTCCCAGAGGGAGTCACCAGGCTCGGCCTGAGCCTCTAGAAGTTGCTTCATCTAGATAAGCCATCTAGATAACAGTGGCTTGTAACAGTTGACAGAGCTTGCCGTGGTGCTGCGGTTTGAGTGTGTGCGTTTCTCCAAAATCGTATTGAAACTTAGCTTCCGCTGTGATATTAAGAGGCGGGGCCTTTTGGGAAGCGGTGAGCTCCTGCGGGTGCTGTCCTCCTAAATGGCATTATGCCTGTGTGAGAGGCTTCAGGGAGCTGCCTGGCCCTCCCGTCTCTCCTGCTCTGTGACGATGCAGTGAGAGGCATCAGCTTCGAGGCAGACAAAGCATCCCTCACCAGACACTGTATCTGCTAGACCCTTGATCATGGACTTCCCAGGCTCCAGAACTTTAAAACAATTCTGTTCTTTATAAATTATCCGGTCAAAGGTATTTTGTTATAGCAGCCCTAAAGGACTAAGACACACGGGCCAGGCACGGTTTTGAGTGAGTTCTATAAAGCTTGTAACAATACTGATGATGTTGTGTTCCGAAACCAGATGTAGATACAAAGAGCCAGCACTTGGGGAATTATTATTATTAAGGGATGAAAACTTATAGGACCCACAGTATGTCACTGTATATTAAACAGCTCCATCAGGAAGCAGGTCAGTGACTTAATATAGGATTTATAAGCTTAAAATTATGATCATGGAGAAAAAGGTGGATGGAATGCTAAATGTTTTGAATTGCTGATGTTCAAAAAAAAATGACTGTCTTCAGTTCTGTATCCACTGTGCCACAGAAAGCTGGCCTCTGTGGTCTACATAAACAGATACCCTGGCCCTCTGGCCTCGAGTTGAATTTCATTAGTGGGAGCACTGGCATAAGATCAGCATGAGAGGGGAGACAGAGGCTGGAGTATTTATCTGTCTGCATCCCTTTCTGTGGGTCATCTCAGGCTAGTTCATAAAAGTGAACCTTTCCTTCGTATTTCATTAATGGCTCTTTCCTCTCTCCGTCCAGGGGTGTTGGCCATTCTACTCTCAGTAACCCTGGAATACTACCTTCTTCTTTGTCCTTCCCCTAGCCTGCCCACACCTTTATTAACCAGTCCCTTATTAAATCCTTCTAAAATTATTGCAATTTACACAAGACATCCGTTTTCTCTTAAAATCCCGACTAATAGAAATCCTGATACAATTGATCATGTCATTATAAGTGACTAGAAATAGTTTTAGGAGGTGGGAAAGGGGTGGCTCATGCCTGTAATCCCAGCACTTTGGCAGGCCGAGGTGGGTGCATCACCTGAGGTCAGGGGTTCGAGACCAGCCTGACCAACATGGTGAAACCCCATGTCTGGTAAAAATAAAAATTAGCCAGGCATGATGGCAGGTGCCTGTAATCCCTGCTATTAGGGAGGCTGAGGCAGGAGAATTGCTCGAACCTGGGAGGCAGAGGAGGCAGAGGTTGCAGTGAGCCGAGATCATGCCACTGCACTCCAGCCTGGGTGACAGAGCAAACTCTGTCTCAAAAAACAAACTAGAGTAGTAGTTCGTATTATGTTTTGGCCAGTTTTGGGAGGCAGGGCAGGGTGGCTCAGACCATAATCCCAGCACTTTAGGAGGCTGAGGCAGGAGGATTGTTTGAGGCCAGAAGTTCAAGACTAGCCTGGTATGGTGAGATCCCATCTCTACAAAAATATTTAAAAATGCTGGGCGTGGTGGCTCACGCCTGTAATCCCAGCACTTTGGGAGGCTGAGGCGGGTGGATCACGAGGTCAAGGGATCGAGACCATCCTGGTCAACAAGGTGAAACCCCGTCTCTACTAAAAATACAAAAATTAGCTGGGCATGGTGGTGCGCGCCTGTAGTCCCAGCTACTCAGGAGGCTGAGGCAGGAGAATTGCCTGAACCCAGGAGGCAGAGGTTGCGGTGAGCCGAGATTGTGCCATTGCACTCCAGCCTGGGTAACAACAGCAAGACTCAGGCTCAAAAAAAAATAAAAAATAAAAAAATTAGCCAGGTATGGTGGCAGTCACCTGTGGTCCTAGCTACCCAGGAGACCAAGGTGGGAGGATCACTTGAGCCTAGGAGGTCAAGGCTGTAGCATGCTATAATTGCGCCAATGCACTGCAGCCTTCCAGCCTCAGCCACAGAATGAGATTTTGTCAAAAAAAAAAAAATTATTTTTTCAATAGGGGAACAAAAACATGAAAATAAACATGCTATTTTTGCACTAGTTATACAAATATAGAAAAATTACAAAGTCTTGACACTACTTTTCAAGGAGATAAAGATCTGGTAGCCGCCGACGTGTCCTCCTTAAACTCATCTCAAACCGCAAGTGTAGGTCATGCTGAAATCCCCTCTCAAAAGTATCATTCCCTGTGCAACAATGGCGGGGAGTATCTAGTGGATTCTCAAGTCCAAGCCCCAAGGCTCTCATCATTTTGTTCCAGAATCAGACGTGGCTGTGCCTACTTTGCCGTTTGAGAAAAGCCTCTTCGCAACCAGAGAAAAAATGCTGTTTACCTTTTGGTGTATTTCCTCATCACAAAATTTTAAGGCTATATTAATACATTGAAAATGTTGAAATGGTATTTTAAACATTTCAGGGTGAACAAAGTTTAACTTTTTTTTTTTTTTTTGCCAACATGTTGAAAAGAACCTTTATTACTCTGTATAACTGCCTCTTATGCTTTCTTGCCAGATGCCTTTGGAGCAGGTGCTTTCTTGGCTGGAGCTTTTTGACCCTTCTCAGCTTTTGGAGCAGGCGCTGCCTTCTGGCCTGTGGCCTTCTGGGCAGGAGCCCTCTTGCCTGCCGCGGTCATCTTTTTAGCTGGGACTTGAGCAGCAGCCTTAGCAGCAGGTGCTTTTTTGGGAGCTTTCAGGAGAGCTGCCTTTTGAAGCTTCTTAACTTCATTCTTCATTATTCTGTTCCTCATTTTCTTTGCCTTCATAACTTTAAAACGATCAAAATCTGTCATCTTGGCTTTCTTTTCTCTGGCTTCAATCTTCTTGGCCCATCAAGTGGCTGCCCATTTCGTATTGATGTCTGCCTTCTGCCAGGCTTGCCGGACATACTTCTGGCGGGCACTGTGTGGAAACTTGAGGATGAAATCAGTGAGCTGCATGCACTTGAAAGGCATGGCCTGTCTCCTCACCTGAGTGCAAGGTCCATCAACCAAAGCCCTGTTTTGATCAATAACATCTACAATCGCCACCAATTTTCCGGCATGAGGTCCAAAGGAGACGTAGGCCACCCGGCCAACCTCCACGAAGCGCCTCAACACCATGTGCTTCCCAGGACCCTCCGGGAGCTGTTCGGCGCCTCAACTTCCCAGCAGAGGCGGAGGTAGAGAGGAAAGATCGCCAGTCCCGGAGCCCGCGATAAGACTCCAAGTTTAACTTATTATGCAGATAAAGACTTGCAGGTCAGGCCAGGTATGGTGGCTCATACCTGTAATCCCAGCACTTTGGACGGCCACGGCAGAAGAATCTCTTGAGCCCAGGAGTTCAAGACCAGCCTGGGCAACATAGAGAGACCCCCCTCTCTACAAAAACTTAAAAAAGTAGCTGAGTGTGGTGGCACACACCTTCGGTCTCAGCTACTGGAGAGGCTGCGGTGAGCCGTGATCACACCGTTGCACTCCAGCATGGGGAACAGGTGAGATTCTGTCTCAAAAGAGAAAAAAGTTTCTCAGGTAATAAAAATTGTTTCAGAGAAGCCCACAGGAAATAGGGTGTCTGGACATTATGAAAACTCACCCAGGCTGCTGTCCAAGGGCATGATCTCAGCTCACTGCAACCTCTGCCTCCCAGGTTCAAGTGATTCTCCTGCCTCAGCCTTCTGAGTAGCTGAAATTGCAGGTGTGTGCCACCATGCCTGGATAATTTTTGTATTTTCAGGAGAGACAGGGTTTCACCATGTTGGGCAGGCTGGTCTCAAACTCCTGACCTCAGGTGATCCACCTGCCTCAGCCTCCCAAAGTGCTGGGATTACAGGCGTCAGCCACTGCCCAGCTCTGATGACTTAATCTCCTCTTTTTTCAGTGATTAATCTTCTCTGGTTGTTTCATGAGATTCCTAGGAAGAAGGTTCAAGACAATTGCATTCCTTCTGGAAGAACTTCCTTCAGTCATGTATGGGGAACTTCAGAGACAGCCCCTCCCTGCATCTGCACTTGGAGGGAAGAAACAAGGGAAGGCCAGAGAGACTTAGATTTTGAGGCAGCTTCTAAGCCTTCCAGTTTCCTTTAAATCTAAGTACTCTCAGCATGCGCAAGCACCATACTTTCAGGTATCATTTTCTTTCCTTCCTTCCTTCCTTCCTTCCTTCCTTCCTTCCTTCCTTCCTTCCTTCTTCCTTCCTTCCTTCCTTCCTCCTTCCTTCCTTCCTTCCTTCTTCCTTCCTTCCTTCCCCCTCCCTCCCTCCTTCCTTCCTTCCTCCTTCCTTCCTTCCTTCCTTCTTCCTTCCTTCCTTCCTTCCCCCTCCCTCCCTCCCTCCCTCCTTCCTTCCTCCTTCCTTCCTTCCCTCCTTCCCTCTCCCTCCCTCCCTCCCTCCCTCCCTTCCTTCCTTCCTTCCCTCCCCTCCTTCCTTCCCTCCCCCTCCCTCCCTCCTTCCCTCCTTCCTTCCTTCCTTCATTCTTCCTTCCTTCCTTCTTCCTTCCTTCCTTTCCTTCCTTCCTTCCTTCTTCCTTCCTTCC